TCTATCCTTACGAGCTATCCGAGAGCGACAATATATCTAATCGACAATACTGCAGTAAAGGATCAACCCACAAAACAAATCTACCAATCAATTATATTCTAACAAATCACACATAAAAAGAGCATGACTAATCTTATATGAAATTTGATAAATATAATTTTCAGGGTTTTCAGATCTGAAAATAATTAACAATCTCTCAAAAATAAAATTAAACAATAAAATCTATGAATGAATCAAAATAAAATAACAAATCAAACTCTTCAATTAAGATCCTCCCTAGTCTTGTTGAAAGTTTAGTTGCCTTTTGACATAATTCTCTAGCCTTGAAGAAGAAAATAGAAGTCTGGTGGCAGCCTCTCCAGCCTCCTGGAACTCCCTCTAAAATAACTTGGATGGGTATTTATAGTATCCTAGAAACCCTAACTAGAATGGATGTGGGCTGGGCTGAATTACCGCGCAAGGGATCGACACTCGCTGGAAGGTGCCGGCACTTTGAGTGGAGCGTCAACTGCGGCGTCCGTGTCGGGTTTTTGGCCTTGTGTGCAATTTTGGTTAATGGCAGAATAACAGTCTTGGTCCCTGACTTCTGGATTCTGCGCAAGTTGATCATCATATTTCTGAGATTTTCAATTTGCTCCTTGATCAAGAATGGAGAAAATCTCACTTGAGCCTTTAAACTTCTGATTTATCCTTAGATCCTCATCTTTTCAGCTCTTTGCATTTAAGTCCTTTTTCTTCTAATTCTCTCCATTTAGTCATCAAATCTTCAATCACCATAAAATTTGCACAACATGAATAAATGAACACTTATGAAATTATCTATAGAAAAATAAAACTCTTAAACCCATAATTCCACAAATGTCAATGATTAAGTACACTTTAAATATACATTTTCATGCTTTCATCATTTACCGACGTGATTTCCATCTAGGTCGATGTTTGAATCACCGAGCCCGGCTTCACCGAGCAACCCAACACCGACGTGATTCAAGTGGGTATAGGACTTCACCAACCAGATTCCCTCTTGTTTCCGACATGGCTGCTCATCGGTGACACAGTGAATTCTTGTAGTGAATTAATGTAAAATGCTTATACCAACAACCTGTTGATCTGAGTGAAAAGAACTCGGTTCCCCTTAATCAAGATCTTGAGTTCGAGTCTTATGAATAGAAAAATAGGTACTAAGAGAGTTTCCTCTTATATGAGATTCGACCCAATTCGATTCCAAATTAATTAAGATCTAATGTGATTTTTGGATATTGGAAAGTTAGTACAAAAAAAAATGTAAAATGCTTATGTGGCCCATTTAAAAAGGTTTTCTTTATCACTTAGCAAATGACTTGGACAAAATTCATTGTCACAACGTACTTAAATGCTTGTTTAATTACAAGTAATTATCATTACAACATGACAATTTAATTAAATTATTAAATTGGAAAAAGGGCAAAGCAGGTCCACTTTAATAAAACGGCGCCATTTAGACAATAAAGGGAAAATTTAATCCGTCCGTTACCCTTTTTCATTGAGGTATTCCGTCTAGCCGGAGCAACAGCTATGGCAATCAATGGATTCAATGCCGTGTTTAGTTTGACGGTTATGATGCTGCTCATGATGGCTGCCGCTGCTGCAAACGAATACACTAACCACACCGTTGGCGGTGATGCCGGCTGGTTCTTCGATCCCGTGACCGACACCTCTGTTAGTAAATTACACTTCTTTTGTGTTGCTTTCAACTCTTCCTTCATTACTTCATACCATCTTGAATCTACAAGGCCAGTTTTAAGTGTTCAAGCTTCCTCTAGAATAGAAATTGAACGAGGGGAAGCACTATAAGGTATAAGTCCAGCCTTTTCTTTTCCTCGTATCTTCATTAGATGTGTATTAACGCTTAAATGACATCTTGGATCAAGGTTAGATGAAGAAATAATATTAGTAAAACTTGAGTTGGAAATATTTGAAGGGTTTCAATGGCTTGCTCTTTGTGTACTAGGCTCGTAACCATCATTTATGGGAGGTTCTACATTCTGATTGCCATTTGCTAAAGGGGATCACAAGTCAATTTAGGTAGTGCTAGAATAAGATTTCTTGCATCACAAGTTGTGTCGGGGTGCTAAGAGAATTTTCTTAACTAGCCTCATCTATGATATTTAACCAGGAGCGAGGTTTGATAAA